GATTGCAGGAATCTCTTTGCCAGTGCTGAGGCAGGAATCTCTTGCTTTACTGGTGCTTGGATCTGGGTCACAGTTGTGAGGAGGAACGCTGGTGTGGTGAAGCTTGTTGTGGTGGTGGAGAGGAAATACCTTGCCCCTTATCATAGCACCTTGGAAGAACTGAAAATTTTCAGGTCCCTAGAAGTACCTCTGAAAAACAGCTGTACAAACCCCCAAAGCTTGGGACAGTACATTCTCCACATTGGAAGCAGACTTTTACCTTAACAAAGAGTTTAAAACTCAAGTGATTGGCCGGGATCATGAGCAAGCAGCACAAAAACTGTCAGACTATATTATCTTACTTTGGTGACAAAGAAGATCAAAACATACAACCAGAAGAAGACAACAAAGTCAAAGCTCCTACATCCAAAGCCTCCAAGAAGAATATGAAATCAGTCCCAGGCCTTGGAAGAGCTGAAAAGGGATTCTGAGAAACAATTAAGAGAAGTAGAGGAAAAACTGAGAGTTTTGCAAGAAAATCATGAAAAACAAGTCAACAGCTTGCTAAAGGAGACCCAAAAAAATACTGAAGAAAATCACACCTTAAAAAATAGCCTAACCCAAATGGCAAAAGAGGTCCAAAAAGCCAATGAAGAAAAGAATGCCCTAAAGAGCAAAATTGGACAAATGGAAAAGGAAGTCCAAAAGATTACTGAAGAAAATACTTCCTTAAAAATTAGAATAGAGCAATTGGAAGCTAGTGACTTCATAAGAAATCAAGACACTGTAAAACAAATCCAAAAGAATGAAAAATTAGAAAACAATGTGAAATCTCATTGGAAAAACAACTGACCTGGAAAATAGAGTCAGGAGAGAGAATTTAAAAATTATTGGACTATCTGAAAGCCATGATCAAAAAAAGAGCCTAGATATCATCTTTCAAGAAATTATCCAGGAAAACTACCCTGATATTTTAGAACCAGAGGGCAAAATAGAAATTGAAAGAATCCACCCATCACCGCCTGAAAGAGATCCCCAAAGGAAAACTCCTAGGAATATTGTAGCCAAATGCCACAGTTCCCAGGTCAAGGAGAAAATATTACAAGCAGCCAGAAAGAAACAATTCAAATATTGTGGAAACACAATCAGGATAACACAGGATTTAGCAGCTTCTACATTAAGGGACCGCAGGGCATGGAATATAACATTCTGGAGGGCAAAGGAGATAGGATTACAACCAAGAATCACCTACCCAGCAAAACTGAGTATAATCCTGCAGGGGAAAAAATGGTCATTCAGTGAAATAGAGGACTTTCAAGCATTCTTGATGAAAAGACCAGAGCTGAATAGAAAATTTGATTTTCAAATACAAGACTCAAGTGGAACATGAAGAGGTAAACAGGAAAGAGAAAATCATAAGAGACTTATTATGGTTGAACTGTTTACATTCCTGCATGGAAAGATGATATTTGTAAATCATTAAACCTTTGTCAGTATTAGGGTAGTTGGAGGGGAAAAAGTTATATGTACATATATATAGATAGAGATAGAGATATAGAACACAGGGTGAGTTGAAAATGAAGGGGTCATATCTGGAGAATAAAATTAAGGGGTGAGAGAGGTTTATACTAGAAGAAGGAGAAAGGGAGAGGTAGAATGGGGTAAATTATCCCACAAAACAAAACAAAACAGAAAAGGCTCTTACAGTGGAGGGGAAACGGGGGAAGGTGAGAGGGAATGAGTCAATCTTATTCTCATAGAATCTGACTCAAGGAGGGAATAACATGCACACTCAATTGGGTATGAAAAAGTCTTACCCTACAGGAAAATGGGGGGGGGAAGGGGACAAGAGAGTAGGGGGATGATAGAGAGGAGGGCAGATTGGGAAAGGGGGTAATCAGAAGCAAGTACTTCTGAGGAGGGTCAGGGTCAAAAGAAAGAATAGAATAAATTAGGGGGGTAGGATTAAGGGAAATAGAGTTAGTTTTTCACAGCATGTCTACTATGGAAGTGTTTTGCATAACTGCACATACATAACCTATATTTAGTTGCTTGCCTTATCAATGAGGGTGGGTGGGGAGGGAGGAAGGGAGAAAATTTGGAACCCAAAGTTTTAAAAACACATGTTTAAAAAAAAGTTTTCATATGCAACTGGTAAATAGGGTACAGAAATCCATCCTGCCTTATAGGAAAACTGAAGGAGAAGGGGATAAGAGAAGGGGGGGGAGAGATAGAAGGGAAAGCAGACTAAGGGAAGGGGTATTCAGAATGCATGCCATCTTGGGGTGGGGGAAGGGGTGAGATGGGGTGAAAATCTGGAACTCAAAATCTTGTGGAAGTAAATGTTGAAAACAAAAAAAAAATACTATATTACTATAGATTGAAAAAAAGTTCAGCTTAATATTTCTTAAGTCTTTATTTTCTGGCATGTCAATTATTTTAAACTAAATTAGACTTGCAAACAATTTAGCAATTCAACAAACATTACTTGTTTTAGTAAATTGGAAAGTATGCCAATTTGGAGTCTGAGAACTTGGATTTGAATCCAATCAGCTAATTAATTACTATCTGTGACCTTGGGAAAGTAATTTAACTAAACTCTAGGGATACAATTAATAAAAAGAAAAGTCTGTGCCCTCTAGGAGCTTACAATCTAATTGGAGGGAAGGGGGAACATCATACAAAAGAAAGCAAGAAAGGAGAGGTACACACAAGGGAGTACCAGGCAGTAGGGGTATCTTGTTCTGTGTAATAGAAACCAAGCAGAGTAGCAGATGCAGAGTGGAGTGAGCTTTTTTTTTTTTTTTTTTTAAGGCAATTGGGGTTAAGTGACTTGCCCAGGGTCACACCAAGTGTCAAGTGTTTGGTCTGAGGCCAGATCTGAACTCAAGTCCTTCTAACTTCAGGGCTGGTGCTCTATCCACTGTGCCACCTGGCTGCCCCCTGGAGTGAGCTTTTTTAAAAAGTCCAACTTCTGCCCTCTAAAAAGGAAGGCATTGGGAGGAGTTTAGTGCTCTACTCTCCAGCCATTCCAATCAGAGGAAAGAAGGCTAAGGAGGCTGACAAGTCAAGGCTTGAGTTTGCAGCATGGTGATTAAAGGCGATGAGCTGATCCTGGGAGGGGCATCTTGTTCCTCAGAGTGGAACAAGGAAATAGCTGAGATAAGGCTGAAAGGGAGGGTGATGTCAGCCTGTGGAGGGACTATCAGGTCAAGGAGTCTTAACTTTACTTAGTAGGTAGCAGGACATTCCCCAATTTATACTTCCAGTCAGTCTAGGGGACATAGGAAAAATGGACTGAAGGGGCTTTGAAGAAATTTGAGACAGCTAAAGCAATAATACAGAGTGGGTAGTAAATGAAGGTTTCTATTAGGGTACTGGCCAGAGGAAGAGGCAGGAATGGAAAATATTCAAGAGGTAGAGAATTGATAAGATTCTGGAATGAATGAAACCCAGTCAAATAAAACCTAAGATTTTGGACACTGGAGACTGGGTCAATAGTAGTGCTACTAAGAGAAACAGCAACACTAAAAGGAAGACCAGATTTTGTGGGAAAGGTAAGTACCTTGATTTTAAACATACTGAATTGAAATACTTGTGAAACACCTAGATGGCGATGCTGATTTAGAGATAAAGGCTTGGAAGTCATCTGCTTAGATTTCTTCAAATGATAAATGAAATTACTAATCAATAGAGTGTGAAGTGAAAACAACAAAAAAGAACGGGAAGTACACACCTCAAAGCAAAAAGTTCTTAACTTTTTTGTGTCATAGACCCTTTGGGTCACCTGATAAAGTCTACAGACTCCTCAAAACAATGTTTTAAAATGCACAAAACATACAAGACTACAAAGGAAACCAATTATACTAAAATACAGTTGTAAAAAAAAAGGTCACAGACCTTTTAAGCACCCCTCCTAAAGTATAAGGAAGAAGGCAAAGTAACAAAGTAACAGAAAAAGCAGTTTGGAAAGAAAGGGGGAAAAAAATTAGGAAAATCCCCTGCTCTGATGCCAAAGGAGGAAAATCAATGGAATTAAGCCATTAAATGTGATGTTTAACTGGTCACTGATAAACTGAGAAAACACTTTTGATAGAATGATGGGGGGTAACAGACAAGCTGCAAGGAGTTGAGGGAAAGGATGGTAATTTTTCAAGAAGTCAGGCAGTTTCCAGTCTCATTATACATACTCTAAACACTATGTATCACTCACATTATACAGCTCTGCTTCACATACTCTATATTCCAGACAAACTCGTGCTGCTTTCTGTTTGTCATAGACATGACATCAGTTATGCCTTGCACTAGGCCACACCCCATGCTTGGAATGCCCTCTCCCCTTACCTCCAACTCAAAGAATTCCCTTACCTTCAAAACTCAAGCCCCACTTCACCTTTTATTAACATCTTTCCTCACACCCAAAAGTAGCAAAACAAAGACGTGAACCCATATCCAATGACAGGCTAGGTTTCTTTCCTTTTTTGGGGGGTTGGAGGAAGGGGAGACAATCAGAGTTAAGTGATTTGCCCAGAGTCACACCACTAATGTCTAAGGCAATATTTGAATTCAGGTCCTCCTGACTCCAGGGCCAGTGCTCTATCCTCTGTACCACCTAGCTACTTTGATATGCTAGTTTTCTGTTTTTGTTTTGTTTTGTTTTTTCCAATTATACATTCATATAAGTCAACCTAATAAAATGTGGGAAACAGATTAAAGAGAAAATTTTAAAGCCTAGTATCTTAGTAACCCAACAATTGAATAAAATGATTCTATGCCCACAATTAGAAAACTAATTTTCACAATCTCCTAATCTCTACATGTCAATATGATTTAATTAATAAGTACTCCCTCCAAGCTGTTTATAATATAAAAGATTAAGTCTTATATGCCTTAAGATATCAGAGTGTTAAGTGACTTGCCCAGGGTCTCACATCTAGTAATTGTCAGGGACAGGCTACAAACCTGAGTCTTTCTAATTTTCCAAAAAAGCATTCAATCCACCTCATCAAGCTGCCTCTCTCAAAAACGTAACCTAGTTCAGGAACTTTCATGTCATCTTTGTGTAGGAGCCATGATAACCTTCTCTGTATGGTTCTAATTTCAAAGTATGTGCTATGGAGCATTCTCTCTAAGTGTTGGATAATTCACAGATTGAGCAGTCATAGGAATAGAACAAAGAGTGTTGACTCCTAGTTTCTCCAGGCAACATCACTAAAAGTAAGGCATTTTCAACTGTCTTCACAATCATTTGAAGGTTTCATCAGCACCTCAAAAATTCAAAGACTAAAACGAAACCTTTCATTCTCCCAAACAAAATTAGCTCCTCCTCCTCCTCCTCTATATCTTGGTTCATGGTACCACCCCTTCCCCAAGCATTTAGGCTCTAACACTGCCCTCATTCCTCACATCTACTGACTTTCATTATAGGTACGTCTTCCAGAAGCACCAAGGTAGTCCTTTTACTTGCTACAGTGTCTTACATTGATGCCTTTTTTTCTCTTCCTACTGTTAATACTCTGGGTTCATGTCGCATTACCTTACATCTGAACTATTAAAATAACTCCCCTCCCTACTTGTAGTTTCTTTCCCTCCCAATCTATCCTACATATGACTGATTAATCTTACTAAAGTTTATTTTGATCATGTCATTTCCCAACTCATTTGTTTTCAAGGATCTTCATTACCTGCCAAATTAAGCCCAGGCTTCTTCACCTGGCATGTAACATTTACCAAAATCACCAACCCCATTTCTTACCATTGCCTACACACATCCAGCTAAATTGGATTATTCACAGCCGACTCCCCCTCTCCAAGGCTTTTCACTCCCCAACCTCTGAGCCCTTATTGATGCTAATAGAATGAGATTTGTCACACATCAATATCTGTTCTTAAAGACCCAGCTCAAATGTAACCTACTCCATTAAGTTTTCCCAGAATCACCGTACTCAATAGTGATTTGTTTCTCCTTTTAACTCCTACCACAGATATGGTATTGTACAGCTTGGTAAGAAGAATGCTGCATTGACAATCAAGTGACCTGGCCTCAAGTTCTGGCTCTGCCACTAACTGTTTGACCTTGGACAAATCACAACCAAATTTCAACTTGTCTAATTAGAAAATCAGGCTAGTTGAAATACTCTCCTAAATTATAGATAAGTTATAAAACTATCTCCATTTGCCTCATACAGTTTCAGCTAAAAATATAACCCCTTAGAACTCAAGTTAAATTCTAATTTATCTTTGTACTTCCCACAGCACTAGCAATCAATCAATCAATATTTGTTAAGAACCCACTATATGCCAAGTATATGCTAGGGAAACAAAGCCAATGACAGTATGACCACACACAACCCAATCCCCAAAAGGAGCTTTTATTTTATAGGAAGAAACGTGTGTATATATTTTTATAAGGTAATTTGGGAGTAGGAGATCAGGAAAGTTATCATGCAGGAGGAAGCAGGTGGACCGAGTCCTGGAGAAGAATGCATCCTAAGATGCAGAGAAAGACTGTATGCCTAGCCAGGGACCAACCTGGGCAAATGAATGGAGTCAGAAGGTACATACCATCCTCTACTTAAGAGTTAATGTTTATAAACGCTTCAGTCAGTAAGTTAACCTACTGACTCAAGCATTTATTAAATGTTTACAGTGTTCCACACACTGGGAAATAGGAAGACCTGTGTTCAGATACATCTTTAGCATCTTATTGGCTGTGTGTCCTTGGGCAAGTCACTTAACCTGTTTGTCTCTGTTTCCTCATCTCTAAAATGGGGAAAAAGTAACAGCACCTATCTCCCAGGTTGCTGTAAGGATCAAATTGATAGTATTTGTAAAATGCTTAGCACAGTGCTTCACATGTAGTAGGTACTTAAATGTTAGCTATTATTACTGTGGCAAAGAAATCTGTAAGGGACACTGCTAAACCTGTTTCCTTTCTTTTACTTCTATCACTACTCCCAATTACCAACAACATGAAGAACATCAGCAGCAGCCTCAGCAGGGAGCTAGAGCAGCAATGAAGAGTCAAACATTTAGTTTCCATAATTTTTACCTCAGAGGGATGTTTTCCCATAAGCTATCTAAGATAAAAATGATAGCCAATGGATTTAAAGAAAAGCTAGTTTTAAAGAAGAAAAAAATAAACATTTGACCACCTGCAGGGGATTATCTATTCTGCATTTAAACAGTCTATGCTCCACAACTAATAGAAGCTAGAGTTTATTTGTTTGTAGTTTAAATTAACATAACTTTTTTTTTTTTGGTAATTAACTCACCTAAGGAATAACCTTAAATAGTGGTCACACTTTGAATTTATTTTCAGTTTCCCAATCACCAAAAAGACAACAGACCCTACTCCCACCTTTTCAAATTCTATTCCTCCTCCAGTTTATGCAGCTACAGGAGTAAATATGCTTTAATAATGAACGAACCCCAGGTTAACTACTTTGACTAACCTAGAAGTTACAAAAAGCTATAGATTTTAAAAATCTGCTTTAAAAAAAAAAAGTCATAAAAACACATTATCCTGGGGCAGCTAGGTGGCACAGTGAATAGAGCACCGGCCATGGAGTCAGGAGGACCCGAGTTCAAATTAGGTCTCAGACCAGACACTTGACACTTACTAGCTGTGGGACCCTGGGCAAGTCACTTAACCCCAATTGCCTCGGAAAAAAAAAAATTCCATCATCCTAACACTCCCACCCAATTAGCATTAACCAATCATTCAGGAAAAGCTATCGATTCAAGAAAAGATACAATATACTAAAGCCTCTAATTCAGCATTTAAAGTTTGCTTTTGTGCCTCAAGAAAGGATTGACTAAGTAAATTATTACCACAAATGAAACTAAGGCATTTTTTTTTAAAGGCGCTTTTAAAACAATAAATAGTTCAAAGATTTTGGCAGCAGCACTGTATACAAACTAATTACAAATAAGTGATTCTTTACTTCAGCATTGCAGGCCTGCAAGGGGGGGTGAGGAACTTTTTAAAAAATCGGCTGCCATAATAACTGAAATAATATATTTTTAATTTTACTAATTTCAATGGTCAAAGAATTCATCAGCAAGCGGCTGGACTACTACAGATAAGCCTCTCTGTTTTTAACTATGCTGGTCCTCAGAAAGAAAATAATCAGCTAGATGCCTGGAGTCCTTCCAAAATGGTAGAACCTGTAAAATAAAATTTTTATACTATAATGACACAGTCTGTGAAAATACACGGTCACCTCTAACCAAGTCACTGAAGTGTGGAAATTTAAAGGAAGTCAGACCAAAGGAGAAGATGGGCATGGATTATGATTTGGAGATCATCCACAGGATGACAGAAATACTCATGTTTGTGAAATCACAAATTCCAAGATTTTAAGTACTGATTTAACCTTTCATCTTTCCAAATCGGCTGAATTGCTGAAAGGTGTCTGTACTTCTAAAGTCAGGGCTTCAGGCAGTGGAACACCTACAGCCAACACCTACAACCTAAGATCCATATTAGTAAAGTGTTTTTCACCTCTGGGATAAGCATCTTTTTGGCTGCAAAATATAATATAGCAGCTTCACAGTTCCTCTACATAATATTATCCTACTATCTTCCTAGCTTCATTTTTCCTCCTTTACTGTTTTTACTCACACCAACCACAAGGAAAAGATATAAGGGAATAATAACTCACTTTACATAGCAAAGCACAAGCACAAGGAATTAGTAAGTGTACTAGTTGAAAATGATAGAAAAGGAAATATCTTCACATGTTGGGAAGGGCAAGGAGGAGAAAGGCAAAAAAGGTAGACTGTAGTTGAATTCATGCACCTCCTTAGTAAAGCAGCTCTAAGGTCTAAGATGTTAAGAAAACCTAAAAATGCTGCAACAAGAAGGAGCCTTAAAAGACATATATGCTTACTTTTTTTTTATTCTGAACTTTAACACCAAATAAAATGAGCATTTTCATATGCAAAGTTGTATAGAAGATTGTACATGAAACTGCAAATCTTTATCAAATATTTTTCTCTCAAGTATATAAATTCAACATGTAACTTTCCAAGCTCTTCTGCTTGTGTCTATTTCTTTCCAGCCTTCCTTCTGTTTTCTTCTGTACATTAAAAAAAAAAATGCTTCAAATACTTTCTTCGCTTTCTGGCAACCCAATCACTACCCATCCCCATCTTACACCCCCCTTATTTAGAAAAACTCTTACAGTAAATATGCAGCATCAAGCAAAACAAATCTCACATTAACAGTATCAGAAAATGTACATCTTGTTCTGCACCTTGATAACAACACCCTTTTCAGGAGGTGGGTATGATGCTTCTGTCAGTCTTTTAGAACCACTGTTGGTCATTGCATTCATCATAGTTTAAAGTTTTAAAGCTTTTCTTTACAATGGTACTATTGTTTTATAATGTTCTTTTTTTCTGATCCTGCCTACTTTACTCTGCATCAGTATATTATCCCAGGTTTCTCTAAAACTTTCCCCATTCTTTCTCACATCACATTAAAAAACATAATTTGGTCAACCATTCCCCAATTGATGGGCAACCCTATTCAATTTCTAGTTCTTTGCTATAACAAGTCCTATGGGTCCTTTTCCTCTCTCTCTTATCTTTTTGGGAGCAATAGACTTGGTGGTGGTAATAATGGATTCAAGGGCATGCACAGTTTACACTACTCTGACTTTTTGAGTATATCACTTGTCTTATCAAAGCCCTTCCAACAACTGTCATTTTTCTTGCCAATTTGATGAGTGTGAAGTAGAACCTCAGAGTTTTATTTATATTTACCTTATTAGTGATTTTCAGCATCTTTATATGGTTGTTGAAAGCTTATATTTCTTCCTTTGAAAACTGCGAGTTCATATTCTTTGACCATTTATTTGTTGAATAACAATAACGATGATGATGGCTAGGATTTACATATCAAACATTTATTATATATATCAAACATTATAGCGCCTACTATGTGCCAGACAGCAGCTAGGTGGTGAAGCAGATAGAGCACCAGACCTGGAGTCAGGAAGACCCAAGTTCAAATCTGGCCTCAGACTTGCACCAGCTGTGTGACCTCGGGCAAGTCACTTCATCCTGTTTGTCTCAGTTTCCTCATCTATAAAATGAGCTTAAGAAGGAAATAGCA